CACAGTTTGACTTAAACCCAGGCAAGAAAAAATATACCAACAATCACAAGCAGTCAGGAAAATAAATCAAAATGAATTAATATTGTTTCAGTCATGGATATCCTGGCCGTGATTGTCTTCTTCGGGCGATCTGCGAAGGTTCCGAATTATCCACCTTGGGAACTGGGGTGTTTGGGGACATTGTTCATCTAGTTCTAACGTGAGAATGCCCGGTTGAACCGCACTTTTTCGCATTTAATTTAACAGTTGTTTGCTCATAGTCCATCTGCAAGTTTGAATGGCAACTTGACCGAAGTGTACCAAGAGGCGGAGCGCCAGGGCAAGAAGAAGGGCCGATGTAGGAAGTACCGGAAAACCTGCTCATTTAGTATCCTGAAAATGTTCACCTGGGTCGGGGACTTTCTCACCAAAACTGGCTTACCTAATAAAGGCTCCAGTTAAGTTCAGCGCTTGTTCTGTACCCATCCTAAGTCCTAAACACTAATAAACACTGTTTCAAAGTGGAACTGAGCAAATTCTTCGGTTGATGCGTGGAAGATTTGCAGTCTTAAACCTTGCCGAGGCAAGTAAATGCAAGAAGAGAGCCATTTGTACTCAAATCTAGTACAAAATGAAACCCATTGAAACCCTGACTGTTTCTCGGGAATTAAACGCACCTGTCGCCTGAGGATGGCTTGGGCCCGTGTCGAGCCATAATGACTTCATCAACTGAGTTCGCTTTGTTTTCCCAAGATGTGCCGCCTCGATGAGCCGACGTGTTGAGACAGAGTATTCGCGTTTTCCGTGCACCCACCTGCCCAAACTTGATTTTTTATATTCATATTTATGGGCCCGTGCTGGCTTAACTTTAAAACCAGGCGAATAAGTAAAACTAGATGAGTATTCCCGCAGGAAACAAGAATGGTTAACCGACTTTGTTCTCACATTTGCTTCAGGTTCCTCAACATTCACAAGATTTTTTAAAACTTGAACTTGCTCTGAAAACGTGAAATTTATTACGATTTTTATCGCACGGGCCACATTAATTTGCCCACATTGGCGGTCGATGGACGCAACTGCGGTTCTCCTTTTAGAAATTCGCCTCGTCCAAACGAACGCAAGTAGCAACTTGAATTTTTTCCGTCTTCAGAACACACTTGACTCTAAAGATGTTGAGAGTTTCATAAAATTAGGCCAAAATCCTAATTTTTGCCAGCCTTGTAAATACCGACCTCAATGTGGACGTTTACGTCCGATTGTGTTCTCGCCTTTAAAACTTAGAATCTTCCAATCTAAAGCAAGAAACACTTTGGCATTTTCACCCATCTTTAGAAGACACTACACTCTACAGATTATGGGAGTTTCATAAAAATCAACTAGGATCCTGATTTTTTCTTGCTTAGTAAATACCGGTGTCAACATGGTTGATTTTACTCAATTGCGCTATCTCCTTTAAACATTTGCATCGTCCAAACTAAACCATGTAACAATTTGAAATTAGCACCAGATTTAGAAGATACTTGATCCTATCTATACTGAGGGTTTTATAAAAATAGTCCAAAATGCGAATTTTTTCCAGCTTAGTGAATAGGGATCTCAAAATTGGTGGTTTTTGTCAATGACACTTTCTCCTTAAAAAATTCGCATCTTCCAAACTAAAGCAAGTAGCAATTTGCTATTTTTACCCATCTTTAGAACACACGAGACTCTACGGATCGTGAGTGTTTCATTAAAAGGAACTAGAATTCAGATTTTTGCCGGCTTAGCAAATACCGGTGTCAAGATAGTTGATTTTACCCAATTGCGCTCTGTCCTTTAAATATTTGCATCTTCCAAAATAAAGCATGTAGTCATTTCGAATTATCACCAGCTTTAGAAGAGACTTGACCCCATATATACCGAGGGTCTCATAAAAATGGCGCAGAATTCGGATTTTTGCCAGCTGAGTGAATACTGATCTAAAAATTGGTGGTTTTAGTCAATGGCAGCTTTTCCTTAAAAATTCGCATCTTCCAAACTAAAGCAAGTAACAACTTGATATTTTCACACATCTTTAGAATACACTAGACTCTACAGATCGTGAGTGTTTCATAAAAATCGACTAGAATTCTGATTTCTGCCGGCTCAGTAAATACCAGTATCAACATGGTTGATTTTACCCAAATGCATTTTCCCCTTTAAACATATGCATCTTCCAAACTAAAGCATGTAGCATTTTGAAATTAACACCAGCTTTAGAAGATACTTGACCCCATATATACTGAGGGTATCATAAAAATGGCTCAGAACGTGGATTTTTGCCAGCTTAGTGAATCCGAATCTAAAAATTGGTGGTTTTAGTCAATGGCACTTTTTCCATAAAAATTCGCATCTTCCAAACTAAAGCAAGTAGCAACTTGATATTTTCACACATCTTTAGAAGACACTAGACTCTACAGATCGTGAGTGTTTCATAAAAATCGACTAGAATTCTGATTTATGCCGGCTCAGTAAATACCAGTATCAACATGGTTGATTTTACCCAAATGCATTTTGCCCCTTTAAACATGTGCATCTTCCAAACTAAAGCATGTAGCAATTTTAAATTATCACCAGCTTTAGAAGATACTTGGCCCTATATATACTGAGGGTGTCACAATAATGGCCGAGAATGCGGATTTTTGCCAGCTGAGTGAATACTGATCTAAAAATTGGTGGTTTTAGACAATGGCACTTTTTTCTTAAAAATTCTCATCTTCCAAACTATAGCAAGTAGCAACTTGATATTTTCACACATCTTTAGAAGACACTAGACTCTACAGATCGTGAGTGTTTCATAAAAATCGACTAGAATTTTGATTTTTGCCGGCGCAGTAAATACCAGTATCAACATGGTTGATTTTACCCATTGCATTTTGCCCCTTTAAACATATGCATCTTCCAAACTAAAGCATGTAGCATTTTGAAATTATCACCAGCTTTAGAAGATGCTTGACCCCATATGTACTGAGGGTCTCATAAAAATGGCTCAGAACGTGGATTTTTGCCAGCTTAGTGAATCCGGATCTAAAAATTGGTGGTTTTAGTCAATGGCACTTTTTCCTTAAAAATTATCATCTTCCAAACTAAAGCAAGTAACAACTTGATATTTTCACACATCTTTAGAAGACACTAGACTCTACAGATCGTGAGTGTTGCATAAAAATCGACTAAAATTTTGATTTTTGCCGGCTTAGTAATTACCGGTGTCAACATGGTTGATCTTAACCAACAGCGCTCTCTTCTTTAAACATTTTCATCTGCCAAAGTAGAGCAAAAAGCAATTTGATGTTTTTACCCAGATTGAGAAGACACTTTACTCTACATATCCTGAGGGTTTAGTAAAAATGAGCCACACCCCTTATTTTGCCAGCTTAGCAATTACTGATCATAATGTAGATGTTTTTGCGCGAGTTCGCTCTCTTCTCAAAAAATTCGAATGTTCCAAACTAAAGCAACGAACAATTTTGATATTTCCACCCATCTTTGGAAGACACTTGAGCCTACAGATCCTGAAAGTTTTATAACAATGACCCAGAATCCTGATTTTTGCCGGCTTAGTAAAAACAGTAGCAGATCGTACAGCCAAAAGTTGATTTTTCCCAATTGCCAATACGAATGCAAGTAGCAACTTGACCTTGTTATCCTCCACAAAAGACACTTGGTTCTAAAGACCGTAAAAAATTCTCAAAAATCACTCAAAATCGTGAGGTTTGCCAGTTTAGTGAATAACGCTCTCCAATTGAACTTTTTACTCAACTGCATTCTCTCCTTTAAAAATTCGCCTAGTCTTAACTTACTAAAACTTAAGCTTAAACCAGTTACGGATACAAGCACTTTTATAATCCCTTAGTGTGAATTTGACTGTTGCATTAAAAAACCCCAACCCTCCTGATTTAATAAAGAATATTAATATTTAAAAAAATGCATTTTATTGCATTTTTGGTTTAATATTAAAACACATTTTCACGCTCGTATAAATTAAATAAATATTTATTGGGAATTGTTAATCAGGGTTCTCAACATTCGGCCGGACATTTTATGGATTTATGACTGTTTGGGCGAATAGAATGTACGTTTATTATATTTTATCCATAACTCACTGAAGGAAAATATTATGTCGATTTTGTCCGGGTGTTCGATTCATTATGGTTTCGGCTGAATTAATTTAGATGATTTATCGATTATTATACAATTTGCTGAACAAATTTTCAATATTTTCTTGCGCCAAAATCATTAATTACTGTACATTTGCTCAGTTCTAGTACAATTCAACGCAAGTGGCCACTCCTTTAAAGGTGCGTGTGGTCCTTAATATAAAACGTTCAGCCATAACAAATTGCAAATATGCAGATTGCATTATTCATAATGGGATTTTAATCAAGGAAATTTGATGATCCGGAGGCGTACAATTACGGCCAAAGATCATCATTAAGAAGCCCAAGATATTGTAATTACTCAAAACTTTGCCTCGTTTCGTTGATATCAATCTTTCGGTAGTCTACACTTTGTAGAATAATTTTTCAAGTGGATTTTCTAATTGCTCTGTTGATACTTGGGGCTCATCATTAGCCAGATCAAATCATAGACAATTTCCAACAAATTAAACCATGCAATTTCGTTTTAATGATGGAATAATTTCAACAAAATGGGCCATTTAGGTTCTAATCTGGCGCACAAATCAACATAAATCCATTGAAAGTTTCAAATAATTAAATGTAAATTTATACTGTAGGTTTTCAGAGGAACTCGCTTTGAGAACATCAAACCATCACCAACAGAGCATATCTGACTATTTATTCAGAATTTCAATTTCTTTGGTGTTTTTTTATTGGGATTGGACACAAGTCTGGAAGTGTTGGTGGTCAGGTTTAGGGTGTTTAGCGATGGACAAGGAAGATGATTCATCAGTGCGATTCCTGATATTTAAGTTAACAAGTTCGCCAAATCTGCCCAAACTAAACCAATTTAAGTCTAATTTTTAGGCAAAATTGCCCAAAAAAAGATTTTGGGCAATTTTGAAGTTTTGAATGTTTTCCCTGCCAGTAAAAACACTTTCCCAATGTCGATTCCTCCATTTCGCTCTGCAAACACCAGCAGTGCGTTTAGTTAATTAAAAGTCATCAGCTTTTCGATTAGACGTGGAAACTGTTTCCTTAACGGTGTTTCCGCGACTTCAGAAAGAACTTCAAGCCGATTAAGCAATGCATTAAGTGCGCAACTAAAATGTGGAATATTATATTTAATTCAGTTGTGTTGCAGTTGGAAAAACAGAGAAACGGCCCCCGTTCATATTCATTGCCTGCAAAATGGGAAATCCAATTATGTTGAGCTGTTCTACTAGCACGAAACGGGCCTCGATCAGATTTCACAGCAGTAATTTTGCAATATATACGGAAAACCCGCTTTTCTTGAGGTCCCGAGGAAAACAGGGCTGGTGGAAAATTGC